ACGACGCATGGTGCGCGTTATGAATGAAGTGGCTTAGTAAGTACCTAATTATTAATTTGAAGCAGCTCCCACTATCCAATTACTTGTTAACCCTATGGAAATCGCCGTTTCAATAATGGAAATTTCTAATCAGATTGCGTTGATTAATCTTACGTACTTTTGAGATTGGCGTAGCTAAGGTGGGGCATGGTGAGGTGCTAGCCCCCCTCCCCCTCCACGCGGCTTCATACAACATTCATTACCTACACAGAAATAAGTAGAATATTCAAATCCAATCTTATATGAAAACCAGCTTTCGCTGAAGCTGAACTATGGTACAAGGTACAATAGTCCATGGGCCAGTCGACATGACGGTATAATTTGGGGGTACCAATTTTCCTTTTTACAGTGGTTATACAATTTTATTAGGATGCCAAAAAATCATGATTGCCATCTCAAAGCGGTAGCTAATATAAATGGCGGCCAATCAAAGATGGCGGATGTAGAGTTTTATAAAGTAAACTATATCTCTGGAATTATTGATCCAATTTCATTAATCTTTTTTTTTAATGAAAGCTCTTTATATGTGCTATAAATATTGTTATTAGTACTTTTTCGATAAAATCAACTGTTAATAAGTAATTTAAAACAAGTTAAAAAGTAATCGTAAACGATTTACATAAAGCGCATTTCCACTTGCATTCATTTCCCATTTGTAAGATGCAACTTCTGTTAAAATCGTAAAATCCGGCCACAAATATGAAAGATAGCGTTGCACATGGGCAATCCATTTTTGACGTGCTACTTCAATTTCAGTTTATGGGAAGAATTTCATTTCAATGCTTTTCTAAATAAGAAAGTTGGAACTGCGCATGCGCAAACCTAAATTTTAAAACTGATGTTAGATTTTCCTTTGTTCCAAGCGCCTAAGTATCAAATTTCACTTAAATGGTTCCATAAATAAAAAAGTTGGCACTGCGCATGCGCAAAACCAAATTTTGAAATTGGCGTTAGATTTTCATTTATTCCAAGTGCCTATGTATCAAATTTCATTCAAATATTTTTATAAGTAAAAAAGTTTGCAATTCGGTTTATAAATGGTCGAGATGCGAAAAGGGCACTGTGAATTTTGAATCGATTCGATTCAACTTTTGGCATAGCGTATTATATAGCTAAAGCTATGCCCATATTGAATTTCATGCAATTCAGTTCATAACTAACGGAGATGTCAAAGCGATCGAACATTTCTAAACAAAGTTATCGTTCACACGGACAGATAGATGGACAGACAGACAAAGGAACAGACGGACAGACCAACCGGCAGGCGACAGATAGCAATGCAAAATTATAAACGATCTCTAGGATCGTTAATAAACGGCAAAAGTGTAAAATTATGGAACATGTAAAAAACGGTTTTTTGTTTTTTTTACAATAACTTTTTTTGTAAGCGGTACAGAAAAAATTCCTTCCTTGGTACAAGACTCGACACCATAACGAACCAAATAGCGAAAAAAGTAGAACAATAGCTCTTAAGATAAAAGAACTAGTAGCGTCGCAAAACGAGCGGACGGACGGACGGACAAAGTGGCCACAATAGCGCATTTTTTTTATTTTTGTGGAAATGCGCTAAAAATGTTTTTTTTTAAATTGTTTCCCGAATGTTCTTTACTGCCTGTATTAATACACAATGAATGGTAAAATTATGCGCATATTATGCAGAATATTAGTGAAAAATATGCAAACAGTTTTGATATACATTATATGCACACGTATACAAAATTATATATGTTGCATAATTTCTAATAAAAGAGGAATTACGATAAACACTAGCAATAAGATGTTTCTCTAAGTTTTCTGCACGAAATGATTGTCTCCTGTCGCTAAGAATTAATTTATAAGCACTAAGCAGAGAAACTATACTCTACATCAACTAAACTAATAGGTGCATTAGAAATGGACAAACTATTGGGAGCAATTTCCAAACCTTCCACAATATCACCCATCATCACCGTAGAGAAAGAGAAAGATAAAATAGTATGGAAATGATGAAATTAAACATCAATTAAATCAATAAATCTTCCTTTCGGCTTTTGCAGTATGTTTCATTATCGCGTCCGTTATAAAAATCCGAAAGAATGTATTAAAAATTGAAATTAAAGTCGATTAAACCTAACAAAAATTTAAATACATCTTAAAATATGCAATTCTATCATGTACCTAAATGCAAAGGATATCAAAATATGCAAGATACGCAAAAATAAATTCGGTTTAATAAATATTGCAAACCGAAGATACACAAAATCTCATAAGACAACCAAAAGTAAACGATTATTCACAGCTTTAGCTGATCAAACAATTGAATTAAAATAAAAATAATTACTAAATACAAAAATCATTGTAGTTACGTCTATAGATATATTGTAGCTGAAGAGCCATGATCAAATAACAAATGATGATGAAATTGGTATGTGCGGATTATGTTTCTAAACCTTCACTTCTCTACTTTAATTGAACTTGTATCTCAATTTGGACAACACTGGGTTCGTTGTAATTACAGGTGTAAAATTGGCTCTTTAATGGTGAAAAACTCCCTTTAACGAGTACTGGGAAAACCTTAAAGAAAGGCTTCAGATAAGCGACGCCTGTTCGATAAACACAGCACTTCCACTAACTTCCTCGTAAAACGTGACACACGTTTCCGCTTAACGGTAAACAAGAACTTTACAACTGACAAGACTGACTGTCTTGCAATAAATACGATCAAATACGGCTTTTAGCCATAACATCAGTAAAGAGTTTGTTAATATTGATGGAAAGGTGTATACTGTGCCGATAATTTGACATAAGTAGATTATTTAAAACAAAAAACACATTGGAAAATTGTACGTCAAAATCAAAGAGATGCTATTCCGGAAGCGGCAAAAAGATGAAAGAATACCCTAAGTTTGGCTTCCATATCACCTCACGTAGAATTACCAAGCTGGCTCTTGACAACTACTGTTTTAGCGGTGTGATAAAATTAAGCGGGTGCAAAAAAGCGGCAGCGTTGAGCAAGCACTCACCTTTGTTTTAATGGATTCCAGCAATGCATTGGCGTCTCGGTAGCGGTAGTTGGTCTGTGGTAGCAAAGATGCGATAGGAGCAGCACATAAACTTTCTTTCAAACGTCAAAACATAATAATAATGTCCCACTATTATATGTCGACCGAACGACGCAAGCCCCCTCCCTGGCCGCGAGTATCAAGCTCAACGTGTTCACACAACATTCAAACTAAATACTTAATATTCAAACAAATTGAAATAAATTCCCTTGCTGTTTCTAATAATTAAACAAAAATAAATAAAAATATTGTTTGGCATAACAACAAAAATTAAATATATTGGGAAGACCAAACAACTACCATTACGTAATGCTAATAACTTAAAGTGTACAAGCGCATGCAAACTACCAACTTGTGGATACGTCACTGAAGAAAAGGTAAGAAGTAGCAGATTTTAGTGTATATGAAACTTTTGAAAGTAACGAAGGGGTTGATTTAGTTTTCATTAAATGTTAAGAGTTGAAAAAAATTCCGTTCGTTTACTTCATGCATTAGTTACTAATTGTTGATTTTATCGGAAATGTAGTTATGACAATATTGTAGCACACACAAAAGCTTTCATTTAAGAAAATGATGAAGTCGGACCAATAGTTCGAAAGATAGGTATAGTTAATTTTATAAAACTCAACATCCGCCATCTTGGATTGGCCGCCATTTCTATTAGCTACCACTTTGAGATGGCAATTATGGTTTTTTTACATCCTAATATATGTGTCTAACCGTGGTAAAAAGGAAAATTGGTACCCCCAAATTATACCATTTCCTTAAATTTAGCCAGTTGGCCCATAGACTACAACCACTGGAAAGAAAAAATTTTTTATGACTTGTGGGTTTCAAGTCAATGACATCAACTTTCTTATTCCTTATGGACGCCATATTGGAGTTTTACATGAGGTAGAGAAAAAAAAATACAAAATCGGAGACACCAAATACTTAGTGTTTCATTTGTTTCATTAGTTCACAATGTATTTCTTATGGCCATAATTCCATGGCTGTGTTGATGGACACTATGGTAGATAATAAACGAAAAATGTTAAATAATTTTAAGTAAGCCATGGATTTATTGCTACAAGAAATACATTGTAAACTGCAATCAAGATTAATTTCCGAATGAAATACCAGACTCCGATTTTGCAATTTTTACTGTATCTATAGTAGTGACGTAAAAATCAATAAAAAATAAGAAAGTTGATAAAAAAAATCACGACGAGTTTGTTAAAATTATACCTCTTTGAAAATAAATGAACGCCAGGTCGTTAGCGCACTCTCGAAAATCACATTTTTCAGTTTTTTGACCAGAACTTCGCAATTTGTGGAGTTTGGAAACGAAAATTAATTAGTAGAAAATTCTGCATAGCCTTGCCAATTATTAAGCGACTTTGTTTCTTTCCGGTTTATGAGATCCCATAGTGAAAATGAAACTCAGGTGCTAAATTCTTGACAGAACAGCTTCCCAGCTCAAACTAGATATAAAACAAAAGTGTTTGACAGTTTTACGTCTAATGAACACTGCCAAGATTTTAATAAAACCAAAATAACAGTTTTAGCAAAAAAAATTTTTTGTTTTTTAACATTTTTTCTCCAGTTTTTTTTGTAGTAAAACCTACCATCATTTTTGTAAGTTGCACACAGAACAAAAAAAGTGTGGAAGTAACTCAAAATACTTTTCAAAACGAAAAGATTACTATACCAGGTTTTAAGTAGAATACCTCAGTGGCGAAAAAACCCCATACCTACTTACCGAAATAAAAAGGCAAAGAGTGTTTCGAATAACCGATCAAAAAAGACAAATTAAGAGAATTTTGGAATCGCCCTTCGGCGTAAATAGCTGTGCCGAAATGCGTATTTAGATTTATGTATCTTCACACTATTTTCTAACAATTGATACAAGTTCTCTTCAATTCTGTAACAAACAACTTTGTTTTTTTTTTATTTTTCTACATAAAAAAATTCTATTTCACACAATTATTCTCTAACCTAATACATTAGTAGTTACAATTATTTCTGTGAAGTCGTGAACTTCGAATGTTACATTAGCATTCGTTACTTGAAAGAGATGCAAAGAAATAAAAGGTGCAATTAGCCACCTGTCGTCTTAAAATATATATACCCCTGAGCGTAATAACACAAGTTACTTATTTGTTCGCAATTCTTCGGTTGGGCAATGAAATGAAACTTCAGAAAACGCTTCTTGATCTAGACGTTCGCCCTCATTGAACGAACGTCCAGTTCCTCGAGGTGTACAATGAATGATTTTTCTAACATGCAACTGAAAGGGTTTATCATAGAAAAATAACACACTGAAAGTGACAACAGAATTGCAGTAAACGAAACAGGCCGAGATGATGATAGGTATCGGATTCCAAAGCCACAAAAATTGTGACATCGCGTAACTGCCTAATGCGAAAGCATGGCAGAGGACGAATGCAGTGCACAACGTTAAGGGCAACTTTGAGTGCTCGAGGGACTGTTCTTTGTTCTTTCTCAAGACATTAAGAAAACGTATAGTGAGAATAGACATTAACAAAAGGGCTAGGGTTCCATAGCCACCCTTTCCCGCATTATCATTGAATTTGTGGCCTAGGCAACCTGTACTCAGAATTATAAGGAAAATTAAGAGAATTCCCCAAATTAATGCCATCGTAATCTTGTAGTAAACTCCAATCCATTTTGAAAATTTCGAAAAGTAGGCGATAATACACCAAGATATAAAAATAATGAAAACGGACACAATTATCAGAAAATGTAATACTAAGCCCATTTGGAGTAGAAAGCATACGTTCAAGTGATTCAATATTGAGACTAATCTGTAACCGACAGGTGTCACTAGCACGGCACAAATATCCAAAATTGCCCAGCTAACAATAAACACATTTAGCGCGGTTCGCAATTGCTTGAAACACAACATAGTGAAGATAATTGCCAGGTCGGCGAAGAAGGCTGCAGTACAGCATGTAAAAAGTATTACTTCGTGTGGTTCGATGCGGTTTATCCATGAATCTTTGACACTGGTTGTAGGTTCGGTCCTGCTATCTACGGTGGTGTAGTTCATTATATCTTCGTAGTCCATCTTGAATTTTTAAGTGTCTGAAAAATTGATCTTAATTAGTCTTTAGGTTCTTTGCTATATGGAAATTATGGTAATCGAAATAGATATTCCTTATAATACCCTGCTCCCACTTAAATTTTAAATCGAGGAATGGCACCTTAATACCTTTCCCGAATGGGATAAGATGAGATGCGTAGCCCTTAGATCGAAATCTGACGAAAAGTATAGTTTGGGATGGCTATTTAAGATGTAGTTAAGGGCTAGTAATTAATTATTAAAACTAGAATTATTTGAATTTAATTTACGTGAAAAATGTCTAAACGAATAAAGCAGAATCACTAAGACCTACTGAACTTTGCAATCCCAGCACAGATTAGAATTAATATTTTAAGAGGGTGTTAAATTTTGATTGCTAGACTAAATGATTAATTATTAATTTTCTAATTTAAATTTGCTCGGTTAATCGAAATATTGAAACGGTACTCACATTCCTATTTGTTTTACGTCAAGAGGCCCTCAGCCATCGTTTCTGATTTGTAATTGAAAGCAGCAAGCATTTGTGTCCCTTCCATTAATCCGGCCTCACGCACGTGATATTCGTCATGAGCGAGAATACACTGGCTTGAAAGTTCTTCCGTAAAAGCAGCCCACTATCGTATTACTTGTTGCTAATTGACAGTAGGTACGTTTCGTTTCCGTGGGGATTTCCACAGATAAATTTTTTGGTGAGCACTTAAATGCGCCAATAATAATTAATTAGCAATATTGACCATGCTAAGATATCATGAATTGGTTTTCATTTCAAAACAAACTATCCTGTGTAATTCTGACAAGAAAAAAATATTTGCAAAGACGCATGCTATATGCACCCTTCATAGAGGGGCGTATATCATTTTTTCAATGACTGGTTGGAATATGGACAAGAACCAATCTAGATTTATGGATTAAAAAGGCTTGTAAGTGAATATTGTTGGCATATCTAATGTTTTCAAATTGTTCAGTATGGGTGCTTTTTTATGACCATTACCTACTGGGGAAATGAAGCCTTGTTTGGACGTTTTATTTAAAAAACTCTTTCTGAAGACCTTAATTTAGCTCCCAGCCCTTTCGGAAGGTGGCGGAATAATCAAATGAAGTAGGGAGTTTGGGCGTATAACTCAGGAACGTTTCCCATTGTTGGTTTGTTTGTATTTTTCAAATACAAGAACCCATCGGGAAAATTTGCCGTCAAACAAAAGTATATCCTCGAGATGGAAAGTGAGTAAAAAGAAATAATTGTACATTCCAATGACATCTGCCATTCACATTAAAAATGGGACGCGGAGCACTCAATAAAATGAACTTCAGAACAGTTTTCATCGAAACGACGGTACCTTGCTATTTTGGATGTCTAAATTAAATACCCCTAGAATTTTCAGAAGTTTTATGATTCCTATAGCTTCTGCTATAACATAAAGTTTTGTATTACACACGACAATAAAAGGAAACTAACAATCTCATGCAAGTTAAGTCACTCGAGGGTTAAAACAGCCCTTTATCGCCTTCTTGCACAAATATAGATTGCCAAACTTATGCATTTCATTTAGGTATACCGCCATATATTATAATTATATAATTAATAGTGGAATAGCACTGGTTTAATGGACACTAAGCTTTTTGGAATCTAAGCGAGATGTGTTGCGTAAACCTCAAATTGATGTCCATGTGCAATAGAGTTGTGTCGATTCTAGGACAGATGTCATTTAGATACCGTTCATGATCGTTTTTCTTTCCAAGTTTCAACTAAGATAGCGACGAATGTTGAGGGGTTATATTTAAGCAGTTAAAAGCTGTCGCTGACTGAAAAACACTATTGGCCCTAGTATGGAGCTTTGGGGGGCTCCTTGTGTGATATGTAGGCAAGTGGGTAATCTATGCTGATATTTAACAGTTTGTATTCCATTCTGATGATAAATAAAATAAATCGAAAATGGCGCAACAGACGTAATAACTTACAAATCGAGATGAATGATTAGATTAAAGATGCAATATATCTTCCAATGCCAATGAGTTCGTTAGGATGTTGAGGGTTTTAGTGTTTGTTGACTTGAGTTTTAATGGACCAGAGTGTAGATTACCTACATGATCTTTTATGCCGCCCTATTTTCATCTTCGATTAAGCTCTGTGCAGCTAAATGAGGGCAATAGTCCACGTAGAAAAGGAAATTGTGACGTCTGATGGCATTTCTCAACGTTTGCAAAGGAAGTCACGATTCATTAATCAAGACATAGCATTTTACCTTAATTATACATTTACGCTGGGAGGATGTATAAAATTAACAATCGGTAACTTAATAGTGGGCCGCTTCGCGAATAGCATTTTATCTTACTCGATTTGCGCACATTTTTTTATCGTGGTAATTTTCCCCGTAAAACAATACCGAATTAATCCGACGATTGTCATGACAAACACACAAAAACCTACATGGCACGAGATGAACACACACAATAAATTGAATGCACTCATTACGTTTATCGTCATCGCGCCATATAATGCCTGTTGAGTAGTTTTTACTTACGCTTTGTGCACGAGATTGATGGTTAATTGTTGGCTGTGAAAAAATAAACGTAAGTAATTTAAGTTTCAAACACTGGCTGTGAGCGCGATTGAAATTGTTTCAGGTTGTAAAATTAAGCACATCCTGAACTAATTTTACTATATTATTTCAAATGGCCTTTCATTGTCAATGCCAACGTTTGTAGTGCAAGCTAAGAAGAAAATCGCAGCAACTTATTTTCTTCATTTCTTTAGTTTATGCCAAACCACCAGAAGGGTTTGAAAACCTTATTGGGCTACCACAAATGCAACCACTAACCACTTCAATGAAGTACTCCTGTTCGCACTTGTTAAAGTTGGCCCCTGGAATTCCGTGGAGTTAACGACTCAAAATAATCAAATCCACCTCGTTTCCATAATTACAACGCACCGTACTTTGACATGTGAAAAATTCACGTATTTCTGCATGTAAAATTTATTCGTGAACCTGCTCAAAATCCCTCTTGTCAACTGAAGACGTTTCTTTTTTTTTAAAGAAATCGGCGCTCCAGACAAAATTGTCTGGAAAAGTATAATTTTGTATCGTGGAGACCTTCGACTCTATATAAACGCTGCCTACGTCCACCAAATTTCCCTACTAACTTTGAATCTTATTACAGGTAACTTGAAATGGACTACGAGGATGTTATCAACATGACCGAGGTCGTGGACAGCTCTGGAGCAATAACTCCCGCACAGTCAAGAAAAGATATTTCGCACGAGATCGTGTTCCTAATTTGTTGCACAGTTGCGTTCGTAGCCGACGTCGCCATAATATTCACCATACTCCGCTTCAAGCAGATGCGAACCGTGCGTAACATCCTAATAGCCAACTGGGCCGTTATGGATTTATGCTCCCTGTTGGTCACCCCGAGCGGTTACAGGATACTTTCAATTTTTTACGAATTTTCCATTTTTAAAAGGGCGGAATGTCTGTTACACGCATTTGGTGCAGCGTTCCACTACGCTGTTGTTATGTGTGTCTTTATACTTCTGGTGGATTGGTGCATCGCCGCGTTCTTTCATAACGCGTCCAGGAAGATTCGACCATACTACAAATTTGCTCTGGGATTTCATTGGGGAGTATTTATATTTTTTACCGTCCTCTACGGGACCCCTTGTCAAAATAAATACAGTGCATGGGGGATGCAAATTTTGCATGCTATCATAGCATTCTTCACATTAGCTGTCTTTCTGATTTTTATGATCATCCTTAGAATTGTGCTTATGGTACAAAAGTGTAGAAAGAAGCCTTTGGAATGTCCAAAGCTGTCATTACACCTAGCCACTGGATTTATGATGTGCTACATACTGGCCTTCGCAAATATTCTCTTCATTGAATTTTTACGAGTACGCCATCCACTATTCGCAATGATTTCGGCCTGCATGGTCTTCTGTAACGCGATTCTCAACTTCGTTTTCTTATATTTTTGCGATACACATTTTCAAGCTCATTTCAATCAAGTGATAAGGTGCAACTTCCAGAGATACAATAACCAAATTACTGAGTTAGACGATCACTTCAGCGAAGTTTCATTTCATAATCCTTCTGAACAATTAATAAACAATAGCCGTTAAATGTGTTTGATGTTGTCAATAAAGTATTGGAATAGAAAACATTATTTTACTTTTCCCCTTTCCGATCACCTACTATCCTGTTTAGGTTTTAACTGACAGAAGGGAGAACCGAAACCATTTCTTCTCAGAACCGGCACTTACGTTTCCGGGCCCTTTCAGCTGCTTTTATCACTATTTACCTCATTTTCTATGGAGAAGAAACATTAGAATCGAGAACCAGTTTTGCGCCCAGCCGTCATCACCATTACCGACCGAATGAAGAAACTACTTTGGACCCCTCAGGCCGTGTTGTTAGAATTGTGACCGCTTACGTTTATTTCATCATCATATAGCAAAGAATTGATACGTGGGCAACTGTTCTACCCTGGGGGTCAATTTTTGAGCGCTCGCAAATGGGAAACGTATACGGAACAATACGAATAGTAGTTTGTTTCAAATTTTGACAGCACGTTTCTTTGCGCGCTCTTAAAATATCCTTCGCTTTTTTGCGAGCGGTAGATAGCTGGCGTAATTTGATATTCGAATGCGTTTTGCTTTGAATATAAAGTATAGTGACCAGTTGATCGTCAATTTTAAAAATTTTATCGAAAATAGAAGAATTGATAAACGTTTTGGCCATTCAAGATTTTAGATTTTTTACGTAATTTGGTTTTCCGGGAACTATAGGGTGCATAGACTCCACGCATGTGCCCATTTTTCCTCCGAAAATTGAGGATCCGGAGCATCCTGAATATTTATATATAAACCGAAATGGTTACCACTCTATTAATGTGCAGTCGGTAAGTTTAAAGAATGGAAGATGAGTGGATAACGTTACAAAAATGTTGTTAGATATGTGACAGCAGCCTCAACATTCTAAATGTGAACGCAAGGTATCCGGGAAGTAGGTACTAACGATGCATATAGATATACCTATATCAGAAAAAACTCGTTGTTGATCCATTCTCTAAATGGGGTGATGAACCATATAGGAAATAGACGACTCAATTCCTCAAAGGGGAAGGTTTTGAGGAATTGAGTTTTCCTATTTATGGAATCAATCAAATGTCCATGGTCTTATGCAGCAATTACATCGATTAGTATTGGGTGTGTGACACATTTATTAATAAATGTAGTTCCTTACACTTTGGGGAAATACTTATTCTTTACAGGAGATTCGGGATATCCCCTTCGCTCTTGGTTGTTAACACCTTTTAATAATGTGGAACCAAACACTCCAGAAAGCCGTTACAATAATCTCCACAAAACAACAAAGGCAACAATAGAGATGTAATGGTTTGTTAAAGAAGCAATTTCGTTTTTTATTAAAGCATCGATTTCTTCATTATACCTATACTCCAGTCGACGCGCCGCTTCGCTCTAGTGAGCGGTACCCTTTATTTTTCACATATTCCACCAGCATAGTTTTTTGCTTTTCGGAATCATTTGCACCTCTCTTTTTTAAACTGTCCATTATAATAACGAGGTACAATTATATACACCTCTTTAACCATAGAACAGATGGAATGAGAATAAATACGAAATTAGATTTAATTTTGCGAAATGTCAATTTTAATTCAGGTGTTGTCAAATCTATCAATCGCATCTTTACGATGATCGTAAGTAAAGTTGCGAATAATAGAAACTGTCACTCAAAAATTGATTGTTTTCTTGACATTCGTAACTACGTACACGTAACTTTGCGTATTCGCAAAAAAACGATCGCATCTCAAAAATTGACCCCCTGGCCCAATGCATTTTAGGTATATACTTAATGTAGATATTAAATTTTTTGACACATCTAATGCTCTTGTAATTTACACGGAAATAAACAATTTAGCAGCCTGTAAAAACGATCAAGGTTTTCCCAATGCAGTAGGTAGTAGACCGAGGTATCGAATAGGTTTCTAAGGTTTTGCCCTCTAAAATCAGGTGAAAAAGGTTCGATAGACAAAAAACGTATTTTCTAGTAGCTCTTGGGTTGAAAAATTCGAAAAAACCACAACCGTCAAGATCTGGCCACCAGAATGGAAGGTAGAGTCATGAGTGATTTTTAATAAAAGCAAAGAGTTATAATCTTGTGATATAAAATCAAATGAAGTAAAAAGTTGGCACGGTTCAAGAGCAGACATTTTAGAATTAGAAAAAGTTGGAACTATCAAAATCTGACCACCAAAATAAAATATGAAGCAAATATACTGACTGACTTTTTATACAGCAAAGAGTATACGTTTTCACGTGCAAAATAATGCGATTAAAAAGGTGGCGGCATCTCGACAATAAAAGCATCTAGTTTTTTGAAAAATTTACGGCTACCAAGAGTGATCATCAGAAAAAAGATAAGGCAATCAAGTTGATTTTCATAACAGTATTAGCCTTCAAACGCAATTAAATAAAAAAGTAGAAAGATAGGTACTTTCTAGTAAATTTTGTCTCCAAAATATTTATTTATTTATTTATTTATTGTCCCTCTTGTTCTAGGCTCTCAACAGGCTTACGCCCAATTACAGCGTGACCCGCATACTGCTTTTTAGAGGTGCCCCTGCAGAAGGTGATAAGTTGTTCTATACTACTCCGTTATTTACCTTACGAATTAGGAAAACTGCAGGAAAACCTAATTCGGAGTAGTCGGCAGAATGCTTGAAACTGATGTAAGGAAAATCCCATCTCTGCCACAGATGAAAAATTCACCTCAAACCAGCTTCGAACACCCGACCTCCGGATTTATACCCCAACGCTCTACCACTGAGCTATAATGCCGGCTTAATATCACCACCAGAATAAAATATGGAGGCATACAAGTCATACAACTGGTTTTTAAAGTGTAGTATTGTCGTTTAAGGTTAATCAAATAGAAGATAGTGGTGTTAGATCGATCGAAAAGTAGATTTTGATCTGTAAAATTAAAACTTTGAGAATTTGAAAATATCCTTTTCGTCGATCTGAGACCACTATTTTTTATTCGATTAACTTCAGACCAAAATATTATACTCCTTGTTGATTGAAAACCAGTAAGGCTCTATATGGCATTACAAAAAAGAGTGTACTATTTTAATCTGTTTGAAAAATATAAAAATGATGTAAGGAAGCAGTGGGTCGTTCTTAACGATGTTTTGGGGGATAATAAAGTAAAATGCGAAACGGAATACATTGTATCTACTGATGGCCTTGTAGTCACCGAACCTGAAGACGCTTCAGAAGCTTTCAATGGTTTTTTTGATTCTGTAGTTGAAAAAATCCGCGAATCCTCCAACTTGTCATTTACAAACAGTGCCGAGTACTACCATCTATTTCCAACTACATCGGTTGAGAAATCTTTTTTCTGTCGCCCCACTTGTAGACAGGAGGTAGAAAGTGTCATACAAGACCTAAAATTTAATAAAAGTCCGGGAATTGATGGTATACCGGTGAATACTGTGAAAAATGTCAGCGATATCATTTCGCCAATCATTTCTGATTTTTTTAATTCTAGTGTAGAAACTGGTAAATTTCCGGATCCACTCAAAAAAGCACTAGTGATCCCACTGCACAAAAAGGGCGATGTTACAAACATGAATAATTATAGGCCAATTGCATTACTTTCTGTATTTGCTAAAATTTTTTAAAAACTCATGAAAAAACGTTTGCTAAACTTTTTAAAACTTAATAAGATACTAGTCGGAAATCAATATGGTTTTCGAGAGGGAAGATCAACTGAAGATGCGTTATTAAATTTTTGTTCAATGCTTTTTGATGGGCTTAATAAGCGACAATATGTTAGCAGGATTTTCACTGATATCACTAAAGCGTTTGATTCTGTGGATCACGATATTTTGTTACATAAATTATGGACTGTAGGTATTCGGGGTATTTCGTTAGAATGGTTTAAGAGCTATCTACAAAATCGGACACAATCTGTACGCTATAGGGGAGCAGTAAGTAAATCATTGCGGAATGTTTCTGGTGTTCCTCAAGGATCAGTTCTTGGTCCAATTTTATTCCTTATTTACATCAATGACCTGTGTGCAGCTAACCTCCGCGGAAGTTTAACTTGCTTTGCAGATGATGTGTTACTCGGCACAAGCCCCGGAACAATTGCAACATTCGATGCAGGCCGATTTAGATAAGTTAAGGTTGTGGTTCAATTACAACAAAATGGTTTTAAGCACCAAAACCAAGCTTCTACAGTTTTCTCTAAGACGTCACTCAAAAAGTATTAATATTTATTTTAAATGTCAGAATTGTTTATCTCATGAGCTATACTGCGAAAGGTGTGTAAAAATTGAACAAGTTGAAACTATAAAATATCTTGGTATTACCCTGGATAACTGTTGCAATTGGCAACCTCACATCAATGCGTTCAAGCGTTATATGTATATGGCAATGAGAAAATTCTATTTGTTAAAATGTATCTGTCCGCAACCTATCTTGAGGAACGTTTATTACTCACTGATAAACTCTAAGTTGCAGTACGGTATATGCGTGTGGGGCGGTACATATTTGTCGTCCATAAAACCATTACTTGTTGCTCAGAAAAAAATAATTCAAATGATTTCTGGTGTGTCAATGTTACATTCGTCATTTCCCTTATTTGTTTCATTAAAAATACTGCCATTAAGATACATGTATGTGTTTCGTGTTTTAAGAATGTTCTATCTTAGGAGTGGTTACATAGAGGGTAATTATAACGTTCACTCAAACAGATTGAAATCTAAGAACCTTGTGTGGACTACTAAGCCAAACATCGAGGCCTATAAGCATTTTTATACATACTGTGCACCATATTTATTTAATAAATTACCAAGCCACTTATCTAGTATAAGAATATGTACGAAATTTACAAATAATTTAAAATCGTGGTTACTAACAGTTTGCGACGTAGAAATTCTTTTTTTACAATAGGTACACCATTTATTTATTTGTTTATTTTTATCTTTCTTTTTCGTTAATCTTTAAATAGTGTATTCTTCGTAGGTATAACTCTTTGCCTTTGTCTCCATCTTGCTTGATTTTTACTGTGATAACAAGAAGATAGGTTAATAGGCGTATCATTTTCTTATCTAAAGTTTAACTTTCATTACACCGTTACAGTAGTCTATAAATCTCTCGCCACTTATATCATTATTACTGCAATTTTTAAGTTCTTTTTTCTCCGTAGTAGTGTAGTGCATTTGGAATTAATATTAACTTGGTTTTTTTAAGTGATGGTAACCTCAACACAACAGTAATTATTTAATGAGGTACCTATCTGCGATTCATCTAGTCTTATTTACTTGTTTTAGTTTATTATTTTTTTAGAACATATTGTTATTTTTTGTTTGTTTTTGTGTATATCCAATTATGAACGTGGAAATAAAAGTATCTATCTATCTATCTATTTTATTCTGGTGATCAAATTCACAAAGTTTTAAGTTTACAGGTGAAAATCTACTTTTCGATCAATCTAACACCACTATCTTCTATTTGATTAACTTTAAACGACAATACTACACTCTCTACTACTTTAAAAACCAGTTTGATGGCTCTATATTTTATTCTAATGGTGATATCCTGGAGACAAAATTTACTAGAAAGTATCTCTTGTAAGTACTTTTTTATTTGATTGTCTTTGGAGGCTAATACTATTTCCTGTTATTAAAATCAACTTCATTGCTCTATCTCTTTCTGATGATCACTCTTGGGAACTGCAATTTTTTCAAGAAACTAGATGTCTTTACTGTCGAGATGCCATCACTTTGTTATTCGCATGATTTTGAAAGAGAAAATTTATACTCTTTGTTGTTTAAAAAATCCGTCAGTATCTTGGCTTCATATTTTATTTTGGTTGTCAGATCCTCGATCCTAATCTTTCTTCTCCATAGAAATTCAAGTACTCATAAAAGCAGCTGAAAGGGCCCGAAAACGTAAGTGCCAGTTCTGAGAAGAAATGGTTTCGATTATGTTTTCGGTTCTCCCTTCTGTCACTTAAAACCTAAACAGGATAGTAAGTGATCGGAAAGGGGAAAAGGAAAATAAGGTTTTCTATTCCAATACTTTATTGACAACACAAACACACATTTAACGGCCATTGTTTATTAATTGTTCAGAAGGATTATGAAATGAAACTTCGCTGAAGTGATCGTCTAACTCTGTAATTTGGTTATTGTATCTCTGGAAGTTGCACCTTATCACTTGATTGAAATGAGCCTGAAAATTTGTATCGCAAAAATATAAGAAAACGAAGTTGAGAATCGCGTTACAGAAGACCATGCAGGTCGAAATAATTGAGAATAGTGGATGGCGTACTCGTAGAAAATTCAGGAAGATAATATTTGTGAAGGCCAGTATGTAGCACATCATAAATCCAGTGGCTAGGTGTAATGACAGCTTTGCACATTCCAAAGGCTTCTTTCTACACTTTTGTACCATAAGCACAATTCTTAGGATGCTCATAAAAATCAGAAAGACAGCTAATGTGAAGGATGCTATGAGAGCATGCAAAATTTGCATCCCCCATGCCCTGTAATAATATTGACAAGGGGTCCCGTAGAGGACGGTAAAAAATATAAATACTCCCCAATGAAATCCCAGAGCAAATTTGTAATATGGTCGAATGTTCCTGGACGCGTTATGAAAGAACGCGGCGATGCACCAATCCACCAGAAGTATAAAGACGCACATAACAACAGCGTAGTGGAACGCTGCACCAAATGCGTGTAACAGACATTCCGCCCTTTTATAAATGGAAAATTCGTAAAAAATTGAAAGTAGCCTGTAACCGCTCGGTGTGACCAGGAGGGAACATAAATCCATAACGGCCCAGTTGGCTATTAGGATGTTACGCACGGTTCGCATCTGCTTGAAGCGGAGTATGGTGACTATTATGGTGACGTCGGCTAAGAACGCAACTGTGCAACAAATTAGGAACACGATCTCGTGCGAAATATCTTTTCTTGACTGTGCGGGAGTTATTGCTCCAGAGCTGTCCACGACCTCGGTCATGTTGATAACATCCTCGTAGTCCATTTCAAGTTACCTGTAATAAGATTCAAAGTTAGTAGGGAAATTTGGTGGACGTAGGCAGCGTGCATAGGGTCGAAGGTATCCACGATACAAAATTATACTTTTCCAGACAATTTTGTCTGGAGTGCCGATTTCTTAAAAAAAAAGGAAACGTCTTCAGTTGACAAGAGGGATTTTGAGCAGGTTCACGAATAAATTTTACATGCAGAAATACGTGAATTTTTCACATGTCAAAGTCACAGAATAAGACCTTCACAGAACAGAAACATAAATGGCGCTAAATTGTCACTGATTACAGCGTTTCCCGTGGTTGTACGGAGAACTATTTATCGCAGACTCAAATATTTTTTTGCAAAACCTGTAATTTTGCTCGTTACAGGCAATATTTTTACCGTCGATTTTATACGTACACATGATTTTACACAAATGTCAATTTTGACTTTTGAAAGATTTATAATATTTTACATTATTAGCCAGGTAAGTGAGTTTTTACTGGCGATAGGAGAAGTTGACTAGCGAGCCATGAGGCGAGCTTGTCATCTCCTAGAGGAGGAATCGATGCTTCGTAAGAGCGCTACATTGCTGTGTGTTTCAAGAACCTAAAGCAACCATTTCTCTCAATCACTACTTTCTGTTTATCTTCACAGGCCATTTTGTTCGCTTTTCAAAGTAATTAAAGGTTTTCAGTTTTCTAGCTGTTTACACGTCATTCCAGTGGTTCTACAGTACAAGCCTTTTTCCTGAACATCTTTGGGTCTTTCAAAAACTCTGAAAGCCTTTTTCCGGATTGTTTCAGAGTATCACACAGTATCCTGGTTTTTATACCTGTCCTTTCCAGAGCATTCTAGGGGTTTTGCAAATGTCGTTTAGTTCGGGAAAAATTTACTTACAGAGTCTTTTAGTAAATTTTCAAGTTTCAAGTTAGGCGACAAACTTTGCTGTTTTATTAAAAATAATTAGGGAGGCCATTACAAATTCCTGTGATAACTACGCCCCTATTTCACGCAGAGATAGGCTTCAATTTACTTATGGAACTTAGTCTAGGTGATGAACGTTATGAAAAGTCGTTTATACATCTTCCGTGCAAATACACTGGGAAAATTGCCTTTTCCTGTTAATGCAGATGTATATTATTCCAGCAAATTAAGCAACGCGCTAAAAAATAAAATGGAATTGCTTTTCCTGCAGCGCTGTTTCATTATGTTGCTAATGCAATAATGGTTAAGGTATAGTAGAAGACATTAGCAAGAAAGACATGGACACGACAAAACATCAGCGTAGGATTACTTAATTTTTTGCCATCTCAACTTCTACGACCCGAACGCGGAGAACGTCCCAGAAGCCCTTAATTACAAGTGACAACGCCTTTCAAGCGTCACTAATCGCGAATACTTTTCCTTATAAAAAAAACCTAAAGTAATTAGTGTGGTGGATTATCATCGTTCGGTCGAGATTTTCGAATTCTTTAGGCAAACAAAACTTTTTCGCGTTAACGTTCCGCCCCATTTTCTCCGCTAACGTTTTAAATTCAAAAAGAAGAGTTATTAATTACATATTTTTTTTAAAGTTCGCCGCAAAGAAATTTTATCAGCTTTTTCAGTACCCGCCCTAACTTACGACCGAAATCCAACAGGGTGAAAATATCGACGCGCATGCCTCCCACTAAATATGAGCGTCTCGACGTCCAGCAGCAATTGAGATAACATGAAAGCATGCCAGTTGTTTCGGTAGCGCCGCTCTATTATGACGCGTTTTTGAAAGGACGCCGAAGACGTCTGTACGGTGTTGCATCCGAACAGAAATTTCACATAATTAAATTTGGACCTACGACTTTTGTTGGGTTATACTAAACCGAAGGTAAGATTAGAGAGAGTTTTTTATTTCAAAGTTTTATGCGTCAACTTTGAGAAAAAATGCACACGTTTTTAAGCGAATTCGTGTTAGAATATAATGTCAAGATTTTTGCATGCTCTCGTGAGAATGTTGGGACTGAATCTGAATACGTAATTTGGCTCAAATCCTAAACACAAAGATATCACGTATTTGCTTAGTTTCAAGCCCCCAGGAGTTTATAACATATTAAACATGGAAGTTGGTTACAATTGTCAATTATTACGAAATTTATTTGCTCTCTTACAAAAACCGATTGCAACTCAGCAGTTCAGGTTCAAGAGTGCAAACAGGTGATTTGGGCATTTTTTTTGGCAAATTCAGTTGCTAATTTAACTCACGTCGTATCGTAGCAATGTGATCCGCCGGAAACGTAGATGTTTTAGAAAGATCTCCAAATTAATTAGGGATCTTCAAAAATCCCTACCTTCTAGTAAGCCCTCACCAACTGCTAGTAGTTTTGATATTTTTTTCTCACCACATTAGAATTAATACATAAAAGTAACTAAAGAACAAAGTCATTGTTAATTTTAGCTAGTTACTCAATTGGATCCCAAAGGTAAAAAAACAGATTTCGCAATTTCAACGAAAAAATTTGTAGGTCAACAGCCACATCGTGCCTCATTTTGTCTCAAATGAAGCACTTCAAATATGTTCATATTAACGTAATAAGAGCATAATCTCACTGAAGGCATGGTAATTACCTACTGGGACTAATCGGGTTAAACAGCGCTTATGTATAAATGTAGAAATCATGATTAAATTACCTTACTAAAGCAATTCAATTACTAGATGATTTAACAACAGCGTAACGTAAACGATCCAAAATGTTACAGTTTTACGAAGTAATAAAATATGAAGTGAAACCTTAAGGTTAATTGCTCGTCTTACCTCGATTAATGTTGAACTTTCTTAATTAATTAAGCGTCGAAGAACGCCATGACGCGCTGACTTTTGGCAACGAATTCGTTTATTTGACGTGCTTTAAAATTTTAATTAAACAAATACTAGTTAATGAAACGTAACAACTCTGAGTTAGTTTTTAATTATGCTTGGCATGTTTCGGGAAGTAGCGTCTCCACCCTCTCTCACTCATTTACTTTGGGAACAAACACAATTCTCGATGATACAATTCTTTTTCAAAACGGCCGGTAATGTTGTTCCAGCGGCAGACATTTATTTAAATATAAAAAATCAAGAGTAATTCTGTACACATAAATGTCAAGGTCTTGTTATATTTGTAGTTAGTGATCTGTCGAAGGCAGGATCAAGGTCCATGCTGCACCATACACGTTTGTTATATCTAAATATAGTAACACGATCTATATCAAAACGATTTTCTTGTAGCAACCTGCTCCTGCAACAGCTGCAACCTACAATATTAATCTTGTAACCCTAGTTTATTCTCTACAAACACCAAAAGTTAAGGTTAATCAAAATGAAATAGTCATGAAGCCCTTGATGGGGATGACGGTTAGCACAAGACACGACTATAATTAAGAAACGAAACATTAAACAAGACAGCGAACGAACATAAAGCGGAAAATAATTAGGAGATTATTACACGAAGCCTTTATGGCGGCACCTTACTATCGAGATAGATGGCGATGAAATTACCTGCACATCAGACGAGGAGATACGTGTTTTTCTACTGCAAACTTACTTGGCTTGGGATTAGATTCTATCAGTGTCTGTAAATGAGCGTCTTAATCAAGAGGGAAGTGGTGCATACGAGACCTGTAGAGTGACGCTTAATTAGCAAATCGATCCACGCGTTTAATTGCGCGGAAAAAATATAAATGGGCGCGATAGAAAATGACACGATTAGCTTCTGATTAGATAACTCAAATACGATTTATATTTGGATAATTCCCCACGGATTTCGATGCCGGTGTGACCTACATGCTTCGATCAACGACCCTTATGGCAAGAGCGCGAGTAATCCCAGTAAAGGGGGCGGCTGTGGCAGTAACCGTGTGTTATTTTTCCCTGATCGTTGAATTTTATATTGTTTTTACCTCTTAATATCGGTTACATTTTATACTTTGCACTTAACGTTCAATCGAACTTAGGGTTATTACGTCGCAAACCGTAAAAGCGTCAGCTTACGTCGTTTGAGCTACTTATTTTTGTTTGCATGCACTCGGTAACCTGTGGATCAAATGTTTGCAGACGGTAAATGGGTTTCAACACTTCATAGCGTCAAAGGTGTTTGAATCAAATTACCGCTTCGCCAAAGATGCCGACGAAATTATTCAAGGGTTTACTAACGAATTCTGTAGTTTTTCTGCACGTGTTACCTCCTACATGTTAACTTATTTCATGAACCAGATACAGGAGGTATCAATACTGTGTCCTCAGGTGGGTTACATTAAGGTATTAGCACATACTTTTGAAAGGCGTACAGAGACAGAAACGTATTACGTACATGCTTTTTTCCTGTCGCGAAATGACCAGATGGTTTTTACATTCCAAGGAAACTCACGGTTTACAATTTACATAAACAAATTTACACGAATGATAAAATTTAAACAAGAAATTATGCAATTAAAAACAATTTTGGAACGGTAAAATAACAAATTCCAATTCTGCTTCTTCTTCTGTCTTCTGGACCTTAACCTTGGCGCTTCCCTCCTCCAATCGACAAGTGAAGAGTGGAGGTAATTGAAAACGGCCTTTGTCGACAGGTGAGTTAAGGTCGCTGATTCGCACAGACTTTGCATAGGTTCAAATGTATAGAAGTGCCTTAAGGGTCAATTACATGATCGTTATAGTCTCCATTTTCTACATTAACAGGCTTGTGACTGTATCTTCGCGCTATTAATGGGAACGAGGAGCTTTTCATAAGTACCACAGAGAGAAATACCATTAAAAATCTTGGTTCCAGGTATGCCAGTTAAATTCATGTTACTGAGGGAGTTTTTTTCGTAACTGTTTCCTCTTCTTCAACATACAGTATATTTAAGTACCCTATCAATTACCTATCCTTTCTATTGTCAAACTTCAGGTAACCCTACACGAATTAAGTTTGGGATGCAAAAATAAATGGAAAATTGGTTTTACGTTATTTATCTCTCATACAGCGCAGGAAAAACTTCAAAGCTCTAAATCCACTAAGTGATACGTTTGTCAGAAGAATAATTTATACTTGTCTATCCACTTTCGCAAAAAAAAAACATGAAAACTTTTTCAGTAACAAGCAGTTTCAATTGAGACTGAAGTATGTGGGGCGAAGTTTGTGCTTATGAGTCAAAAAGTCGAAATCCTTTGTGTTAATTCTCCATATTAACTGGTAAAGCCAAAGCCGCTCGTGTAAAAGCTCGCAATATTCTGTGCGAGACGTCGTGAAAATATTAAGGAAGTTCAGATGTGCAACTATGCATTTCTATCTGTAGTCAGGATTATATTAGCGGTCTAAGTCTGCAATCTGAAGCGCACATAAGCGAGGGGAGGGTGGAGGTTTCGGATGAGCTTCGGGGTTTATTACACACACTATTAAGTTTAGATGCATTTGTGGCTGCAATCGCTCAGAAATTGTCTTGAATTAAACTGCAGCCGGTCCTCCGAGACCTATTCTTTTGTTGTACTTAAAAATGCGCGGAATTTAACGTGGGACAGAAATTCTCGAGTATTAAGGTACACGTGAAAGGCGATGTGAATGCTTAAAGATTTACCAAGTCCTTTTAAAATTCAGTAAATACATTTTGATTTTACCAAAGGATGGATTGTTGTGCAATATTAAGGCTCCTCAAGACAAACATTTTTAGTGACTAGCGAAGACAGTGACAGTTCAGAAATGTATAATATAACACCTTCCTATTTTTATATAAATTGATTTGAGCCAGTTGAGGGCCTAGAACAAGAGGGACAATAAATAAATAAATGAATATAAAGAAGCTTTAATCTGATGCAAATTGTGAGACAGCCCTGTAGAAAGTACCCTCAAAACAATCGTTTATTATTTTCATTTCTTTATTCCCCTTTCTTCACGGAGAAAAATGTATGTTAACGGTAATTGAAAATATAATAATAGCTATCAAAAAATATAATACGTATAGGGATAGCTATGAAGAATTATAAAATTTATCATATACATATTGTTGCAAGTGTATAGCTAGTTTTACTATTGTTTTAACTCATACAAAAAAAACTGTATGTAACGGCAACCATCTCATATGCATGCTTTTGTAATACGGGAGTAGTAATTAACATCTCCGCTTTGTATTAATAAGTAACTTAGATTATTGCAACTAATTAATATACACACCCTGCCAAAAATCGACTGCACCAAAATTTCTCGGGAATTCTTATTAATTTTGGTGCGTAGAATCCAAAACAATTCGTACTTTTTCGATCAGACTTCTCAATCAAAAGTTATAGACTAGAAACCAATTTGGAAAGAAAATTCAAAGGGCTGTAACTTTTGAACTAGTAGCCCAATCTTGGAACTGTTTGAAATTATGGATTCTACAGGCCACATTCTATAAGAAAATTTTTTTCTGGGTCGATCTGAGACAATTTTTTTTTCGAGGCTCAAAAAAAGGCAGTGTATAACCTTCCTTTTTTACCAAAAATCGACTGCACCAAAATTTCTCGGGAAAACACTTTTTCTTATTAATTTTGGTGCGTAGAATCCAAAACAATTCGTACTTTTTCGATCAGACTTCTCAATCAAAAGTTATAGACTAGAAACCAATTTCGAAAGAAAATTCAAAGGGCTGTAACTTTTGAACTAGTAGCCCAATCTTGGAACTGTTTGAAATTATGGATTCTACAGGCCACATTCTATAAGAAAATTTTTTTTCCGGGTCGATCTGAGACAATTTTTTTTTCGGGGCTCAAAAAAAGGCAGTGTTAACCTTCCTTTTTTACCAAAAATCGACTGCACCAAAATTTCTCGGGAAAACACTTTTTCTTATTAATTTTGGTGCGTAGAATCCAAAACAATTCGTACTTTTTCGATCAGA